CCCGCACCTCCTGCCGCCCCAGCCCTGGGCTCTCTCCCACCCACACCCCCTGCTGCCCCAGCTCTGGCCCCCACCCGCACCCCCCTGCCGCCCCAGCCCTGGGCTCTCCCCCCACCCACACCTCCTGCCACCCCAGCCCTGGGCTCTCCCCCAAAGAAAGAATTGGGTGGACTAAATGGACAGTGCACCTCTCTATCTGAAGCCTAGCAAGGGAGATCCCACTAGAATTAAAAATGAAAAGTAAGGGAGGGGAGGCTCTACTAGGACCTGGGCAGCTTTAGATACAGTACCAGGCAGATAGGAGGATTTACACTTCTGAGCCATGGAAGCAGAAATTGACTTTTCTTTTCCAGATTTAGCTAATATTCAGAAAGGGAATCTAGCACCTGCCTTCCAGATTTGAACACCTCAAAATTCAGGAGGGCTCAAGCTCAATTTGGGCAGCTGTTACTTCATTTCTCCCAAATCAAATATACTGATCCACTGTAACTTGCTGTAGAAAAAGTAGAGTAAATTGAGCAAGAAATGCTTCCCAGTGGTTATTAGGACTGGAACTGCTATTTTCAACAGCCATTGCTTTTTTTTTTTTTTTGTTTTATTTGTTTAAAAGGAAGACAGTGATATTGCATTGGCAAATTCCCCATAGAAACAAAGAATGGAACAAAAGAATAATAAAGGCACCTCAACTTTTCCTCATTTATGTAGAACAGTCTTATAATATGCATCCAGATATCCTTCAATCACACAAGCTGAAAATTGTTCCACTTTACTGCAGTTCTGTAACCATATGGGAACCAATCCTGTCTGTGTTCTGTGCACATCCAAAATTCCTGCTGAATGACCCGCCCTGGGAGCGAATTACCAGTGACCCAGGGCTGGGGCGGCAGGAGGGTGCAGTTTGGGGGGGGCAGCCAAAAATTTTTTTGCTTGGGGCAGCAAAAAACCTAGAGCCGGCCCTGCTAGAGGAACTGCCTCCCTCCCTTTCCCTTTTCTACTGGGGATAGAAAAAATAAAGGCTACAAAATTTTCAGACATACCACTGTTAATTACATCTGGTAAGTGTTGAACACTGAGAAAATTCAACAGCTTGGAAAACACTAGCAAATTTGTAAATTCCAGATGAGACAAAACAATATTTTGCATGTATCAAAGTACAGTAAGAACAAATTTTGATAACTGAAGTGTAACAATGGAGAATTTCCCAGATGTAGAGTTGAACAGATTTAAAGAAAAGCAAAATGAAAAGTTAAGCACCTCCATGAAAATTGATAGTTAAAAACTGACAAAACAAAAAGGACAAAAGTTGAAGGACAAAGAATAATTATAATCATAATGGAAACAAGTTGGGTTTTTTTTTTCTGAATCTGCTTTACAAAAGGAAATGTAAACATTATCTTCCAAAGTAGTTGGCATCTCTGACATACAGAAACCTAGTCACCTTATCAAAGTTGTTAATGTGCATTGAACTGCTAATAATACATTTTACTGCAATATTAATTAGCATAAAAAAGCACACAGTGTAAAGAGTAATAATTTTGTTCTGCTTCATATATGTCTTGCATACATCAAAGTTATTACACAAGCATGTACACTGATTCTCTACAATCTTATGACTTGCATCTGGAACATCTTGTGCTGAACACATGCAACCAGGATCAATGGCATATGGTGGTCCGCACTACTGGCATGGCAAAGTTAATAAACTTTACAAAACTGATGTAACACAAGCAAGAAATGTAGGAAAATCTGACCTATCTTTAAACTTCTAGAGTTTAATCGAGAACATACAGTGGATTCTAAATAGCTACTTTCTAATCAATCCACCCAATGCTCACCCTCTTTTAAAGGCCCCACCAAAACCAGGAGAAAATGTTTGTTGATTGGAAGAAGATAAATTGATAAATAAAAATATTTGCAATTATTTAACAGGACAGTTCAAGCAAGGGAGTTAAAGTACCGTATTTGAAATAGATGACATTGTCACCTTAAGAATTTACCAATACATCACAATACAAATACATCACAAACAAGAATTATTAAACACTTAACTCACCATTTGTTGTTTTTGTAAGCATGCGGATTGACTATATCTCTGATAAAACTGTAGTAGTGACCACCATCTGCTGTTCCTGTATGAACTGTCACGCCTATCAAATCGTACTCGTAACTTTCAGTTTCTTTTAAATATTCACCGTCGTCCTTAAAACCTTAAATAATTTAATACAATATTTAGCAAGTTATTCCTTGAACCTTCACAACACTAGAATTAATACAGATAACTTACAGTAAATACTTCTTGCCAAATACATTAACAAACAGCATATTTCTTCTAGGCACTGCACATAGGTAGCAGCCAGAAAGCCAACACTCAACAGGTGGAGCATGGGTCACTATTCTTGTGAGGTTGCTTCTGACCCAGAATACAGGCATACATAGTAATGCTTTTGCAGTTTATGTATGCTCCTTACTGGTGGACCATTTAATAAAGTTCAAGAATTTGGCCACCATATTATCCTGCAAATATAAAACAAATCAACAACAATCTATACATAACAAGCCAGGAATTAATAATTCATTATAAAAATAGTTTTATCAATAATTTATATTGGTTATTGTGCTGTATTTACAAAGAAAATGATTTAGCAGTCACTGGATATTAAATACAATAAATTACAATTTCTTTGTAAACAAATAAAAATATAGGCTTCATAAGCCTTTAGCTGCTTTTTTAACCTCACATGAAGGAGAAGACAGAAAGATGTGGGATTAATTACAAGAAAGACGTGTTTAGAATTATTAACTATTTGGATTTGTGTGTATTGCTAAGAAATATTACTATTCCATGACTTTTTAGAGCTTAATTTCCATGAATTTCACCATATGCCCTGGGCCACTTGGCTATGCAGTTTAACTGACAATATATTATACTACTAGACAAAAATTTTAAAAAGGTTGAATTTTCAGCACTGTTTGGCTGTTGGAAAACTATAGGGACAAAGCAAAATCAATTACCTTCTTTTCTGTCATTCTTTCCCATGAGAAAATCTTCTGTGTAAGGTGTCATATCCAAACGTAAAGGGAATGAGAAGTGTGTGTTGACTTTCTCCTTCATCATGGTGACCATATTAAATGTGTATCTCATAGTGTTGAAACTTAAGATGCGAGGCAATTTCTTAAAACATGCCCTAACGACAAAAGAAATTAATATTTAAGAAAACTGAATTGCTTAGATAATACTGCCACAAAATCTCTCAAAACTTTCTCTCCTGTCATTCATTTCCAGCTCATGTTAGAAATAGTCACCTAAAATGTAAAAATCAGCTACCACAATCCCTTACACAGTATCAGTTAGTCACATTTTATAAAAAATCTTGTCATCAGATGACATGTAACAGGGATTACATTATGGTACTGGATAGAATACCGATTTAAAGCAGCCATTATTACAGTAAGCACATAACAGCACTCCCTACGGTAAAGATTACATCAGGGACTTCTTATAAAGAATAATGATTCTGTTTTGTGTGCTGTTTCACATTCCGTTTACAATCTGAAAAAAATAATCTTTTCTGATGAATATTTTCCATGCTTAGTCTCAGTCCAAGGATTTTTTTCATTTTTTAAATAAATCATATCAGTATTTTTGAATTATGAAAAGATGATGGGGGGAACACTTTTCCAATAGTGTAAATCTATATTTTTCTCATTCCAGTCACACATGGCTTAAATCTATCATCTGAATTTTTCAATCTAGATAGTCATTAACAAAGACTAGGCCCTTTTTTTACTTGCAAAAATAGAAAATAGTTGACTTATTAGGTTCTAAGCCTCGTTTTTTGCATACCCTGGCACCAACATCTGCTAACTACACTGCTAAACTGCCATCACCGCTCATATATCTATGTGCAAAACTCTTTCTTGTAGACATATTTCAATGCAGAACATATTCTGTACTAAAATCGTTGGGCTCCAGAACGTATTTATAAGATTTACAGTAGGGAACACCAAGGAGTCCTTGTGACTAACAAATTTATTTGGTCATAAGCTTTCGTGGGCTAAAACCCACTTCATCAGAGTGCCACAAGGACTCCTCGTTGTTTTTGCTGATACAGACTAACACGGCTGACGGTAGGGAACCTTTCTCCTGTGCCACTTATAATCACTTCAAAAAACAACTGTGAGGCTTCCAATGTCAGGTGAAGATTTTAAAAATAAAATAAGAGGATACAGATAACACACATACTTTCTTTATGTATTTTAAAGAGTTCCAAAAGCTACTGAACAATTTTAAAAGCAGAAATCAAGATTAAAGAACCCAATCACTTTGTGTAAAGAGTAATAAAAATATGGAATAAACTTCCAACAAAGTTGACTGATCAAAAACATATACAGTAAATGAGTTCAAAATACATTGAGATTTGTTTCTACAAAAGGAACAGTGAGGATTATGATGAAAAATGAGAGCATTGAGGCTACAATTTTAGAAAGGCAGGCATTATGGAGTAGGTGACCTTCTCCTAAAATGTTTTATGTAGGTCATTATATTTTTATATTGTAAGCTCTTTGGGATAGGGATCCCATCTTTATATGTTTGTACAGTGCTTTAGATAGTGGGGCCAGGATCCTGTTTGGGTCTCCAGTTTTATTGTTATTCAAATATTAAATAATTATAATGATTTTAGATTATTTTTGGACTACTACTCTCACTTGATGGAAACTACGAACAGAAATTAATGGAACTAATAGTTAGAAAGAAATGCTAAGAACATTTGTTTATTCACTATTATACCTTTTTTCAGCCCGCACTTTCTTCCCACAGTGAGAGCAGGTATACATGTTGTCACCCTCCAAGGTATCTTTAATAGTTACTTCATCAAGAGATTCCTGTGTACAATGAACAAGAAAAGTAAGTAAATGCTTTCATGGTTCAGATCTATCTTAGGTACTTAATCTGTTTATATCAGCTACATATATAGCACGCATTACTGTGGTATCTGAGCTCTTTGCCAAATTTCAATATATTTACACCCACAACAACCCTGTGAGATAGGGAAGTACTATTATCTCCATTTGTCAAATGGTGAATTGAAGCAAAGAGAGACTACGGGTATATCTACACCCACAGTGCTGAGTCTCAGAGCCTGGGTCAACTGACTCAAACTCGCAGGGTTAAGGCTGAGAGGCTAAAAATGTGTGTGTAGATGTTTGGGCTTGATCTGTGTCTGGGCTCTGAGACCCTCCCTTCTTGCAAGGTTTCAGAGCCCGAGCTCCAGCCCAAGCCTGAACTTCTACGCTCCTAAAGTTAGTCCCACTAGCCCAAGTTAACTGACCCAGGCTCTGAGACTCAGCACCACAGGCTTTTTATCGCACTGCAGATCTATCCTAAATGACTTGCCCATGGTCACATTAAAAGTTTGTGGTGGAGCAGTAAATTGAACCTGAGTGTCCCAAATTCCAGTCTAGCACTCTAACCATTGGGTCAGCCTTCTTCACAAAATGCATTAATGTTTTACTTTATTAACTATCAGCACATACACAAGTGTCAAAGAAAGGAAAAAACAAAATCAAATGGCTGATTTCATCATCATTAGCATATCTACAATTTTCCTTTTGACCTAAAATCATTAACTGGAGATCATACAATAAATCAATTAACACTAACATGCAAAAATTATGCAGATATCCAGCCCTTCAACTGGGAAGTCTTCCCCTTTATTCTGCATGTACTGATAGACCTTGCACTTCTGTAAAGGAGCTTTGCTCATATTAATAGTTTATGGCTACAGATCAGGCATCATTTGGAATACTTTTAAACATTTTCGTTTTCAGAAACTATCTCCTTCCTCCTTCAATTCTGCAGGAAGACTGGCTAAGGAGGCAGTAATCTTATGCCAAATTAGAAATCATACCAAACCAGCAGATCTTAGAAATTTGTCACTCTCACCTAGAAGATGGCACGAGTGTGACTTCCACTCTACAAAATCTATCTTCTTGGCATCTTTATGAGTCAGGATGGTTCTATGAGATCTATATGGCTAATTTTCTCATTTGCTGAAACAACTAATAAAGACAGGTGTGACATACTGGGGTGCAATCCAGACCAGTGGGAGCTGTGTCACCCTTTCCCTGGAATACCTTGCAATGCCTTACTGTTGTAGCTCCCAACCTGGACGCTCACAAACAGCTTGCCAGCATGCAGATCACTTCCAAATGTGTTTGTTACACCCTGGCTCTCAGGGACCTGTGCTAGGAATGCTGCTGGGGAGACCTGAGCCCTGGTGGACTCTGCAGTGATCAGCAGAGCGGACACCTTCGCCAAGTCGTAACACTCCTGAATGCATGATGTGATCCACTACAAGATACGCTGCGAGGAGACAGGGAGGCCTTTCAGTCTATCGGCCACTGCCATGAATAACTGGACGGATTTTCGGAACGGCTTTGTTCTCTCAATGTAGAAGGCTAGCGCCCTATGGACATCCAATGACTGAAGCCTCTTCTCCCTGCTGCTGGAATGCGGTTTAGGATAGAATACTGGGAAGATGTCCTGGTTGATGTGAAACTGGGCGATCACCTTTGGGAGAAAGGCCGGGTGAGGTCTGAGCTGAACCTTGTCCTTATGGAATACAGTGCAAGGAGGCTCTGAGGTAAGGGCCCTGAGCTCCGACACTCTCCTAGCTGAGGTTATCACCACCAGAAATGCCACTTTGTAAGAGAGATAAAGCAGGGAGCACGTCGCCAGTGTTTCAAATGGTGGTCCCTTAAGTCTGGAAAGGACTAGATTGAGATCCCAAGCCGGGATAGGCTGTCGTACTTGCAGGAATAGTCTGTCGAGACCTTTAAGAAAACGGCTGACCATTGGATTCGCGAAGACTGAGTAGCCGTCTGTGCCCGGATGGAAGGTGGAGATGGCTGCCAAGTGAACTCTTATTGACTTCATGGACAGTGCCTGTTGCTTAAGATGGAGGAGGTAGTCCAGTATAAATGGCACCGAGGCAAGCACTGGAGACTGATGGTGCTGCTCCGACTAGACGGAGAACCTCTTCCACTTGGGCAGGTACATCGCCCTTGTGGAGGGCTTTCTACTGCCAAGGAGAACTTGTCTCACTTGATCAGAGCAGGACAGCTCCACCACGTTCAGCCATGGAGCTTCCACTCTGTGAGGTGGAGCGACTTGAAGTTCAGGTGTTGGAGGTGGCCATGATCCTGCATCATTAGGTCAGGGACGAGTGGTAGGGGGGACGAAGGACACCGAGGACACTGATGCCGACCTGGACCTTCGACCCTGGATCTGGCGATACGCCCAGGATGCCCAAAAGGGCCACTGCGTCGAAGGCTGCCACTGCGGAGGCCACAGTGCCAGGTAGGGCTGATGGTCGCGGCGGGATCTGGACCTCCTGCTCCTGGTCCTATTGGAGCAATAGGATTCCATCCGACTCTGAGGTCTCTGAGTAGGTGAACCACGGAGGAGCGGTACTCTGGGCTGCCAGAGAGCGGTGCCGAGAGGTCGGGGACCGGTGCGGCTCCCCTGCGTGGATGGGCTGTGCCAGGGAGAGGTTCGCCGGAGATGGGGATCGGCGTGCCATCATCGCTGGTTTGCCCCTTGATTGGAGCTGGGACTGTGCAGTTACCAGTGACTTGTCTCTCTTCTGTGGAGAGGATGGCGCCGTGAGGCATATAAGGTCTTTGGCTGCCTCGAATGCCTCAGGCGTCAAGGGGAGCTGGAGGTGATTACCTTGGTGGTCCGTGGACCATTGAGGGTTTGGACTCAATTGAACCCCAGATGGGGCAGGAATCAACGAGACCCTGAAGGGCTGGAGAGACGAGGTGGCCTGGCTCGAGATGTGCTTCGATCCCGTAGGTCCCTTGATCTTTAGAGGGGGAGAGCGACCCCTATCTGGCCTTTTCTTCTTTTGTAGTATCGGGGACTGAGAATGGTGCCGGACAGAAGAGGGTTACTTATGGGCAGAGCCGTGAGTCCTTAGGGTCCTTCCTCGGCACTGGCTCGCGCACCGTTGGCGCTGGAGCACTGTGATCCGACGAGGAAGTGCTCTGTGTAAGTTCTGCGGTCCCCGGGTTGGATTGCTTCCATTAGTAGGATCTTGAGCCTTTGATCTTGGTCTTAAAGGGTCCTAGGGCAAAATACCTTGCAGATCCTGCACTTGTCCTTTTGGTGGCAATCACCAAGGCACCGTAGACAAGAAGAGTGCAGGTCACTCTTCGGCATAAACTTGCCACAATCCTTGCAGAGTTTGAACCCTGGCGACCGGGGCATACCCCAGAACCAGGGAAAACGTTGTGGGGGGGGAACCCCCAAGAATCACAACAACTATGACTAATAACTAACGAACTGTTTACAACTATTTAACAATGAAGACTGAAGTGGACACTGCCAAAAGCACTTGCAATGCAAGAGCAACAGTTGTTCCAGCTAGCCGTCACCGGCGGTAAGAAGGAACTGGGGGGGTGAGGGGTCGGGAGGGCCCTATGTTGGGCGCCATGAAGGCGCAACTCCAGGAGGCGCCCAGGCCGACCCTAAGGGGAAAATATTCCGGCTGTCGTGCACGTAGCGCGCACACACACCTGATTGGAATGGTCATGAACAAGCACTCGAAAAAGAACTTCTCTTCAGTGATAACAAGAACTAGTTCCAGGATGGAGAAAAGCGCACAGAGTACTCCTCTTATGTTGAATGTGAAACTGAGACAGAGACTGGGGGATAAAAGAGAGTCTTTAGTTCTTATACTCCTGAGGGCATTCTGCGCCAAAAAAATTAAAATTCTGCACACATTTTAAAATTCTACAATTTGTCAATAAATAAATGCAGAGGTTCCAGCATGGCAGTGAGGAGCACAGGCCACTGGCTACATGAAGGTGGAAGATCACACTGCAGCCCCCCCAGCCTCAGGACACGGACTCAGTGGTGAAGCTGCATCCGACCCCGAAACAGTACAAGGCCTGGGCCTGCCCCAGAAACACCCTGTGGCCCTGGCCCTCTGCAGCAGGTGTGAGCAGGGAGGCTTAACCAGGCAGGATCCAAGTGTGAAGGGGATCAGTGTGGGGGGATCCAGGTGTGGGGTGAGAGGATTGTGTGTGGGACAATCTGGGTGCAGGCAGCTCAGTTGGGGCCGTAGGTGTGGGGGGATCTGGATGCACAGAGGCTCGTTGGGAGGGGAGGGGTGTTCCAGGTGCAGGGGCAATAGGACTCTGCAGGGGCTTCCAAGTGAAGGTGGTTGGGGCTCAGCGGAGGGCTCTGGGTATCTCAGCAGTGGGGTCTGGGTGCTGGGGGAGTGGGGCTTGGTGGGGTGGGGGTCTGGGTGCAGCTAGTTAGGGGTCATTGGCGTGGGGGTCTGGATGTCAGGCTCAGGGTGGTGCAGGAGCTGGGGCATCAGGGTGGGGGTTTGAGTGTAGGGAGCTCACTGGGGGGTATCTGGGTACAGGGGTGGGGGTCTGGAGCCAGGGGGGCTGGGTGAAGGGGGGCTCTGGATGCAGGAGCTGAGGTTCAGTGGGGTGGGGTTCGGGTATGGAGGGCTAGGGGGATGTACCGGGTGAGGATTGGCAGGGGTGTCTAAGTATGGGAGGTCTGGATGCATGGGGATTGGGTGGATGGTGGAGTAGCTCCCTGTACAGTGACCTCTCCCCACACAGCGGAGGAGCGATGGGGGGAGGCAGCAGGGGAGGAGGCTGAGCTTCCTACAGCTGCGGGAGGTTTCTGGGGGTAGGTCTGACACAGCCCCAGCCACTCCTTGCAGGGGAAGAGGAAGTCTCATCCTCTCCTGCCTCCAGCCCAGCCAGGATAAGCAGCTGATCCTGGCTGAGGGTAAGAGCCACTGACTGGGGTGTCCCCAGACCCACAGTGATTTACCTCTCCGCCGGCTGCTCTGGGTGCCTGAAATGATGTACCTATGCTGCTCGGAAGTGGTGTGTGACTGCTCTTGCAGCTTCCCTTTGCTTCCCTGTTAGAAAGTCATTTTTCTGCGGGGAAGCAAAGAAATCTGTGGGAGATATGAATTCTGCACAAGCACAGTGGTGCATAATTCCCTCAGGAGTAGTTCTTAGAAGAGAAAAGGACTCTGTGGACTGATGGTGCCATATCTTCTTCTCTCAATCTCTTGACATCAAAAAATAACTTTGTGGAACTGAGGCCAAAGCCCTGTCTGGTCTACCAGATGTTTCTGATACTCTCTCAGCACTGGGTTTCTGAAAAACCCAAGATTGTATCTTTGAAGAAATGCCTGAAGGTGGTTGTGAGTCTGCCTTGGAAGCTGTAGGTTGTTCTCCATAAGCATGGATTACAGATGAAATTCCATGCCCAGGTTGTAACTTTATGCAGATGTGGCACAGGCTAGGTAAATGCCCCTTACCAAAACCTCTAGATACATGGATATGGAGGTCAGAGACTAGGAAATAAACTGTGAAGTAGGCATTCTTTAAACTTAGTCTTTTTTGTTTTCTTCCAGGAACCCCTCTTCCTATAAGGATGACGAACCCAAAGTAGTTCCCAACTAAGAAAATCAACAATTTTTTTTTTTTAAACAAACAATGTTAAACCTATCCTAATAACTATTAAGAAAATTAACTATCCTACTACAGGAAAAAACAGATAAGATGGTCAACAATCTAGAGATGGAGAGATCCATCACATCACTGGTTCCTTCTAGCTGTGGGAGCAACATGTACCTCTGTCCCTCAAGGTCCAAGCTTTCCACTGAGCTTTGGTGCTCTGCACAGGCCCACTCTACAGGAGTGGGGACTTGTATGGACAATACTCAAACATGCGATTTTGGCTTAAAACATAGTTCAATTTTAAAAATGACCTTGATATACGAAATGAAATTAAGCAAGCACTTAATACATTCATCAGTTTTGACATTTAAAACTACAAAAACCTTTTGTGACAGATGCAAGACCTTGGAAGTATGGAAACTGCAGAACACTATTGTACGGAGATGGGTCAAACTGCCCCAGTCAAACTTTTGTATCTGCAAATGTTATCTGAATCTTTGTGAGCTGGGAATTGTATTCCGGGCTGTCTCTGGAGCAGGTGAGGGGCTGCTCCAGGGCTCCCAGCCGGGCTGTGTTCAGGATCCTTGAAGGGTTCTAAATCAACTCCTGGGACCACTCACTGATGGGCTGCTGCAATGGAACAGCTGTCACCCAATATTACCAAATTATGGAGTCATAACAAAGCCCAGCGTTGTGCTCAAATTAAAGTGCAGGTGTGGAAAGCAGCAGCATATGCAATACAGTAAAATAAGAAATCTCTTACATGACTGAGCTAATTTCCTTAAAACATTATGATCTATATTACAACTGCCATCATGGTAGTACTTACATAAATATTCTTCATATCCGCCACCTGGCACCTCACTGTATAGAACTCTTCAGCAGTCTGACTGACATGCTCACAGTCCTCAATGAAAATAGCAAAACAGAAAAGTGGTAAAGGAAAGTCAATGAATTATCCTGATACTTTAAAATGGATATTCTAATCTTGGAATGAAGTGGGCAGGAAAGAAAGTGATACTTACCAAAGAAACAACATTGTTTGTAATGACCCCTCCAAATAAACTTTTCACTGTATTTTTCTGTGAATAAATGAACGAATTCTGTGAACAAAGCTTGAGCAAATCTATAGCTTTAAGAGCCCCCTTTTGTAGCATGCTTTAAGAACTCACCAATTCTGGAGACATTTCCTCAATTTTTGTTATCAGATCAGTGAAGAATTCTGTCATGTCTTTTTGCTCTCCAGTGTTAAGTGGTTGCTTATCCATGGTGTAGGTTTTACAGAAAGGCCTTGGATTGTATGCCTTGCATTCACTTTCCTTTTGGGGGGAAAAAGGCAAAAAAATATATATATATGAAAAAAAACAACTTTAAAATAAAATGTATATAAAAACATGAATACAGTTAATATAAAAAATATACAAATATATGTATCTAAAAATAAATGTATAAAAATATATCAAGAATACTGTTTGGTAGGTGGTGGAATATGATAAAGGAAAATTTAAATGCTTCTGAAAAAATTAACTACCAAACTGTTTCAAAATCACTAGCAGAATACAGGTGTAGCATTAATATTACAAATAAATACTTATTAAAAGTCAAATAAAAGCATTTCAATAGAGATTTGACGATTCAGTCATTCTTCTCCATGGGCAAACAACGTATCATATAGTTCACTGGTTCCCAATTGTTTGACAGACATCTACGTTAATGTTATTTTGATCAGAGTTAAGGATCTGCATTATATATAATGTGATTGTGAAGAATGTGTTGCATATGGTGTTACTATGTATGTTGGAGGTCTGGGGATTTAATTATAGCAAAGAGGAGTTTTGTCAGTGAAAGTGGTAAAAATGATGTAGGAGGGTTAAAGGTATGTTAAAGAAAAGATGCCTTAACTGGATATTTCTGCTTTTTAGGAACCAATTTAGGCACATCTAACCTTTAACCTCCAGGATCACATGAGGTAGGAGGGTCCCAGGCTCCAGCTCAAGCCCAAACGTCTACACCATAATTATACAGCCCCATAGCCCGGGCCAGCTGCAAGTATTTAATTACCCTCAGAACCCCTACAGGGTATATGTAGAGCATGCGCATTAGAGCTGAGGCACAATGCTTCAAGGAGCCTCGTCTTAGATGATATACATCAGCACTGCGCTTTAATGCAAGGTTGTTTAGTACCACAATTGTGCCCTTAGTGTTAAAATTTTCTTAACTTTAAACATACAATTAAATATACAACTTTTCTCTACTGCCTATTTAACATATTGGGTACAAATACATTTATCATGCCATAAATTTACAAAAACATAGGGGACGTTCATGCTGGGAGCTGGGGGTGTGATTCCCAGCTTGAGGAGACAGACTCGCACTAGCTAGCATGCTAAAAATAGAATATAACTGCAGTAATATGATCTGTGGAGGTGGCTAGCCGCCCCGAGTACATGACCATGTAAGATCCTAGGCATCTACTCAGGAAGGCTAGCCCACTCTGCAGCTTATGCCATAGCTACATTCTATTTTTAGCATACTAGCTTACTAGAGCTAGCACAAGTCTGTGTTTTCAAGCTGGAAACCACACTCTAAGCTCCAAGGGTAGACATACTCATACAGAGAATTAATTTTTCTTCTTCTTCTTCCCTTCCTCCCTCCTCCCCCATTAAGTGCTTCTTAGAACCTACCATTAAATATGTAAACATTTTCTGAAGTTCTAGTAGAGTGGTCTTGTGCTTCATGTCCTCTGAATACTAAAAAAAGATACATAAAATAGGATTACAACTTTTTCTAATTTTTTTGCTTAGAAATCTCCCCAAAAATCGGCACTAAAAAGGTATAGAACAATTAGCCCAATTATTGCATTTCTTTTTACAAAAAATATTTTAATGGTATTTTATTTTAGTATAAATGACACAGTCATAATGATCATATATATTTACATGCATACGCATGCAAGCACACACAATGTGTGTGTATATCTATTCCTTTTCTTTTTTTTTTAACCTAATGTACTACAACCTCATTTTCTGCATTTTAACACATTATTTCACCGGAAACCTAGATTGTTTTCTGATAAATGGAGTTTACACAATGGTTAGTATTTTCTAAAAATTCACCCCTGGATCCCAATGTATGACTCCAGTCCTCATTGAAAGAAAAACAAAAACAAAAAAACCTAGTATCCTAAATTAGGGACCACTACTTTCTTTCATTCAGTAATGACATAAAGGTAGGTGGCTCCCAATGGGTGACTCCAGGATGGTGCTCTAATGGGCTGGAGTTCTTGAAGACCTTATCCAATAATTACTAGTGTTCTGGTGAGTGGCCAAGGACCTTCCTCAGTTTCCAGCAGGGCAATCCTGGCTGAACTGTGGTTAGGTGGAATAGCAGCTGACAACAGTGGCTCAGAGGAGGTCCTTCATCAACACTGATCAGAAAGGAACTAGAAGTTAGGGCCATAGATGCCATCCACATCCTATTATTCAGGGAGCAGAGTGCAATGTTCACTGTTGCAACCAACGGGCTCACAACTTTAATCTATTAAAAGTATTTTTTAAATATTTATTTATGCTAGCACCCACTTTGTGTAGGGCACTTTCCAAACATTCAAGAAAGATAGTATGTGCTCACAATTTAAGGACAAATGGAGCTCACAATTTAAGGACAAATAAGTAAAAAGAAGTAAGGGAAACAGGAATGATAGGCAGTTTATATACAATTTACATAAAAGTCTATTTAATTCACAATAATCTATGGTGTTGCATGCTAGCAGCATGGATTTAAGAGTGGGGATTTATCACAATTGTGCTTTAAAGAACTATCATATTTTGTATTACAAATATTTAGAAAAAAACACACCTCTTTCCACCTTAGCCACTAACAAAAAATATCATTATTTGATCATAATGAAATAATTAATATAATAGTATGCATATGTTTATAAATGGAACACTAGTTAAAAATAAAACATGAAATCATACCTTAGCAGTAAAAATGGCTTGTCTAGCCTCTGGTATCATATACAGCTGCTGAATAGTGGATGCCAAGTAACAAGTTGCTCCAAGATTAGTTAGACCAACAAATCTGCATTCAGCTCGAACATCATCATGTGGCCAATAATCCCATTTGTAAGGTGCATGGGAAGCTGGAAAAAGTATGAATTACAAAAATAAATCAACTCAAAGTAAATTTTTACGAAGACATCAAAATACATAATTACAAAACATTATGCTTTTCATTAAAATATGTTTATATATTCTAGATTTACAGACATAATGAACCAGATTGTGCCTGCACCTTGAGCATGTGCATGGGGGGACAGAATGAGCATAAACAGGCCCTCCCGAGAAGTCTGAAGCACAGCTGCAGTCCTCACACTCTCCTGAGTGCAGGACACGCTCTCTCCTAGGGTGTCTGCATTGCTGTCGGGAGATGTGATTTTACCACATGTAGGTTTGCTAGCTTGCTAAGAATAGCAGTGAAGCTGTAGCAGCATGAGCTAGCCACTGAGTACATAGCTAGGTCCCAGGCAGGGTTGTACTCAGGTGGCTAGCCCGTGCCACACCCTAAACTGCTACAGCTTCACTGCTAATTTTAATCAGCTAGGTTGCTCAAAGCTAGCTTGGAAAAGCTTAACATGTGCTGCAATCATACCTCCTGACTGCAGTGTAGATATACCCCTATAGTGGCCCCAGGATGGCTAGCCAATCCGAAGGAGAAAGGCAGTAGTAATGGTTCACACATCCTGCCCCACCTCCTTCACTGAGTAGCAAAGCTATGTGGAGGTGCAGGAGAGAATGCCTGTTGCATCTTCTTTAAGTCTGTTGCAAGAGATGTACTACTATTCATGTGCTCTGGGAGGCACTGTGACTCCTTACAAGCAGAGTGTCTCAAGGTTTGTCTGCACAGGGATAAAAAACCCAAAGCTGAGCTGGGTCAGCTGGCTTAGGCTCGCAGTGCTTGGGCATCTGGCCCCGGCTTGAACCCAAATGTTTATACAGCAATTTTTTGCCCAGCAGCCTGAGCCCCGTGAGCCCAAGTCAGCTGACCTCAGTCAGCCACAGTTATGCCGCATGGGTTTTATCCTCCTGTAGATGTACACTTAGAGCTCTACCTCTGGTAATATGGCTTTGACAGCCCCCCAGACTGTGTCTTAAAGCCACAATCTGGCCCAAAATAGTACACAAAACAGCTTTCCATCAGTAACAAAGGCATTCATACATTATAATTATGAATGTTAAGTGTCTTTCAGGCATACCAAAGTACTTTCAAAATATTATTTACTTCTCTTATAGAAATGTATTTCTGGAAAGTTACGGATATTAAGAGAGTCCGTTTCGTATGACAAGTTCATAGTGACAGAAAATTTTCAGCAGGCCTCTGAAATGAACTTAGGAAATCTGCAAGTGTACCCATTTGTGCAGGCAAACAGATGTGCTTCAAAATGCCAACTTTGGCACACACAAACTGATGTGCTTGCAAATACTGTGTGCGCATTTTGGAGCCATGCTGAAAGGTGGCCCTACTAGTAGCCTCACAAATATAAAAAGGCAAGCACCAAATGTAACATAATTGTGAAATGTTGCCTTTCCTATTTATGACAAAAAAATGTGTGATAAAATATAAAAAATGGGGGGCATATTATAAAAATAAGGATCTCAGTCTAATTCAATTTCTTAAATTGGATGTTTTGGCCCTGACTGCCTCTAACTCCTATCATTTATTGATGCCTTAGCTATATTTTCTGGAAACAGCACATCTTATTTGTCTGACAGGAGTGCAGTCTTTGATATACTGTAGGATATACTTCCTTTGCCTTGGACGCCGACCGCTCGGGGGTCGCATAACTAACGCCACTTGTCCC